TTGCCGTAATTAAATAACCTAACCTAACAGACGGAGGTTTCTATTTGACGCGAAATCTGAACACGATTCTTGTATGCTTAAAGGAGCTTTCGAGGAGAGCTTTTTAAGGAAAACTAATTATGCAATATAAGGGAGAAGAATCAACAAAACCTCCCCTCATTTGCTATTGAACTAGTTGACTAATTATAATTTTGAACTAAATACGTATTTATGGCTTATATAAATTTATGATTTACACCTACTGAAACATATAAATTTAGAAACTTCCGTTTATGATCAAAAGAGCTGCAAAAGGGAAAATATCCCAAATACTTTGGAAAGATTAGCAACATATATGCTTTCTTTTTGTAAAAATAGAAGCTATATATTACTTAAAGTGTCGGCTGTATATTATTTAAAGTATTTTTAAAATTCGGGCAAGCCCAAGAAAAAGAAAAATTATAGTGACTTAAATAAGCACCAGTATTTCTTTACCTATTCCTCACTTTTGCTATGCGACAAATAGACAGCCAACGAAAATGAATTTGTTTCCTAATATAAATGACGAAAAAAGGAGCAAACAAACAAAAAGTGTTAAGTTAAAATAACTGAAGAATATATTGTTATTAGCACGATTTCTATAGTAGTAAATTTTAGCACCTCAGTTACGATAATTTATTGCTGAATGTTGAAACGAAATAGAAACGCCTAAAATTATAGTATATCAGTAATAACTTATAGAAATGATTCCGATATTCTTTGCTTTATAGTTTTAATAATTTCTGTAAAAGTATCTACTAAGTACCGCAAATATCTGCAAAGCAAGAGGAAGGTATTCATAACATTCCGGTCAATATTTCTTGAAATGCAGTTTTATACATATCTGTTTGGTTTGAGAACATAAATTATAAATAATTGAGACAATAAAATATGGCATATTGCCATTTAAAATTTTTGTTAGAATTTATTTTCCAAATCATCAATAATAAAAAGTGAATGGTACTCTTAATTATGACAATTCAGTAGAGAGGAAGCGGACCGCAGCTAAAAACCGTTTCTTTTGAAGTGAAGGTCTACCAACGGCAGAGCGATAAAATCGCTGAACACTGATAATTTGATTCGAGGTTCGAGAAAGGTCTGGCTGCAAGAGTGTTTCCGTGTTTTTCCCCATGTGTAACATGTATACGAGCCAGTTTCCCCACGAAGATATCCCTTCTCTTAGGCACATAGCCGTCGAGTGCTTTGCCGTCATTAAATGAAACCATCTTTTGGGCCAAAAAGCAGCCGAACAATATTTCCTTCAGAGGCTTGATCTTAATATGTTCACTAAGGTGAACATACAAGGTCTGAAATTTTTCTATTGGGTAATACACATGATTGGTATAAATGAAATCTCATAGCAGAGCGAAGAAATTATTGTTGTTCCATAGTTATAAGTACGAAGTGTGGTTTTGTAAAAGATTAAAGTTCTGCTGGATTATAAATTGATTGACCCGATTGACCAATGAGTGTTTACAAATTGTGAAGAAGATAATTTTAGCTAGAACATGAGCATTATTCAAACAAATTTTATATTTATATATGAAATTTATAATTATTTGCATGCAAACATATGAATTTTAGTTTATATGTCAGGAAAAAAAATTAAAATAAGGGAAAAAGACTGGGCTGTCATTACTTATTCTCAAGTGTTGCCCTAAGTGTTGCCTTTTCTTAATTTTTTTAGTTTTTATTTAAATTAAAGTAAGTTGTTAATTAAAGTAAGTTTTCATTTAAATTAAAGTAAGTTTAAAAAATATTAATGATTAATTAAATATATCAGAGTTACTTGAAGTAAATTTTAGTCTGAATTTTTAATATTTAATGGTCAGCATGTTTTAATTACAAACTGTAACCAATAAAAATGCCTTGCGGATACAAAATTTTACAGAGATAGATTACTTAAAATATATAGATTTCAGAAAGAAAATGCGTATAATTTTGAATTTTTTCTATTTTTTTATTATTATTGTTGTTGTTTATGTATGTTTTGATTAATATTTAGTGAGCGAAATTTGAAATTCAGTTAAAATATTTCTCATTTTGTTGATTAAAAAATTTTCAGTTTGCTATTTATGTTTTAAAAATATTTGATGTGTACACCACATGACTTGCTTGTACGGAATGTTAAATTAGACGCATTTTTCCTGCATTTCAATTAAACTTATTGAACTGAATTAAATCTACTTCGTCGATAGCGCATAAGCCGCTATAGAATAAATGCGCTTTTTAAAATTAACTATATTTATTTACCATAGCAATACCTTGGGGGTTGATTTACTTAACAGCGTTATATCTCATTCATTTTACAACTCATAATGGAAAAAAATTACATCATCTGAAGAATTATCTAATCTTTGCCACATGTTTATTCAAATACTATAATAAATCTAAAACGATGTACTAAAAAAATTAAACAAATAAAAAATAAACAGTTTTTCACAGACGATTCAGCGCTGCTTACCTAATGCCCATGCGCTACTCGAAAACATTCTCCTCTGTCCGAAACAGACTGGCAACAGTATTTTCTGCTAATATGAAACATTTATTTCCTCGAATTTCATTAGAGATGTATTTCTCATTCAATTAATTCAAGTTCTCACTTCGCTGCAAGGCAAAAATAATAAAAACACAAAATATCTTCATTAAAAATTGAAAGATATAGAAAAACATAAAACACCAAATACAGTTTAAATTATTTAAGAAAAAAATTTACCATTAAAATTACAGTTTCTACGCAAATACAAGCAATTCGGCCAATGGGCAAGAAGACAGATTTTTGGGTGCACAAAATTGAAAATTTAATTTTTACTTTTGGTTTCACTCGGCAAAAAGACACTGAAGGCGTAGAAACTGATTTAATTTGTTGTGAACTCTACACTGAGTCAATATATGGGATAATTTAATATCTTAAATGATAATTCCAGAAAGGATTAAGCATAATTTAATTCGCAATATTAAAAGAAGACGTTGCTTTGTTGCTCCGAAGATTAGCCTCTCTAGATTGGCAACAAATCCACTATTCTGCTAAGTTCAAATGTAAACAAATATGGCCGCTATGAGAAAAAAATTAGGCTTAGCCGCACTCAAACAACTTCTGAATTGTTGATAATTACACAACTATAACATGTAGTTTAACTAAAGGCATAAAAACCTTAATCAGAAGATAAGAACAACATAATTCAATCATTTTTAAAGCAAAAAATGCACAATTTAAATAAACATATAATAATAAAGAAATTGAGCTCACTGAGCCGAATAACAGAGTGGGTATATATATCTTTCTTTTCTTAAACATCTGGTTTTCTACACTTAATTGACATTTAATTAATTTTAACTCTAGTCTTTTACTTACTTTTTCCTCAAAATTCCACTGTTCAAATTTTTGTTCTAGTAATTCACAACAATGAAGGTCGTTTTACTTTTGGTTTTGAATTTTACTTTTACCTTTGCCTATATGGATGACGAAACACGACTTGAGTAATTGAAGAGTTAGGTTTGGAGGCAACTTCCCCTTGATAAGTCTGTCTCCTGCCTGCTCAACAATTATTCACTTATGCAATTTTTTTAAAGTAAATTTAATTTTTTGGAATAATATGTTTTTTCATGGTTTTAGATACGTGCACTTAATTTCCATATGCTATTTGAATTTAAATGATATTGCAAATTAGTTAGCAGCAATAACTTTTTTATTTTTATTTTTTTTTTTTTGCAATTAAAATTTCTTAATTAAAATTTAATTGAACATTAGCTTTATACGAATAGAAAATATTTGTTAAATATATGTATATATTGGCGCGACCGATTGCAACCAAAAAGGGAGGATATGTTATAGCAGTCCCTCATACAAAATTTGAAAGATCTTTTTCTTTCCTTATAGTAATAAGCCTTTCGAAATATTTTTTTTTCCTTCTCTTGGGTAAAATAAACAAACCAGAATTATTCATAGTATCAAAACACAGTATAGATATAACAAACTTTTACTGGATTTCAAGTTTCAATGCTATTTGAATATGAGAGATTACACAAGGGCTATCTGCCTAGATACTGCATTTTAGTACTAGGACTAACCCTGCAGATTTCAATACTAACATTAAATTAGACTTTAATTCTAAGGCTAATTCTGCTTAGCCGAATCAGTACGAGGAAATGGCAGGCAATCAAGAAATCAGTAAATAAAGACTTGCGTCATTTATTGTATTATATTACGAAATCATTAATATTTTCAGAACAATATAAGGGGGAGATGACTCCATGAACTGTTTTATGGTATTTTTGTTTGTGTGACGTAAATATCAGACAGTGTCATTTATTGAAACCTCAAACGGCAGGTAACTATTTATAATAAACTTCCTCGAGTTCGATCTTCAAAAAGAAAGCATTCAGAAGCTAAGCTTGATAACCTACGTCATGTGAAGAAATATTTTCTCTTGCTCTCCTTCAATACGTTATTCACTTCTGCCTTAAACTAATGCTGAATATTAAATCTTAATCACAGTGTTCGAATTTTTCCTTACAATACAAGCACTACTTTGTAGTTTCTCTAACAAAGTATTAAATGTAATGGGTTTCATGCCTGCTTCTTTTTTTCCTTGTTTTTTACGTACTGGTTGAACTTCAGATTAAATTAAACTTTAATTCGAACTTATAGTAAGCCTTCTAATAGCAGCGTTTGAAGAAAATGTACTTTCGTTTGAATTTATTTAAACGATAAATTCTTAAAATGATAATCAAATGCCTTTAAATTGCTGTTAAGATTCAAAGAAGATTTACGTCGAAATTTTTCGTGTATATGATTTTTTTAAGAACGACACTGTAAATTTATTACATTTGATGAGAACAATAACCCTTTCTATATTGCAAAATAATGGGAAATAAAAAATATTTAAGAGTATAAAATTTATTACCTTATAAAAATCCTCAATATACCTTTATTCCATCGATTCCATATCTATTCTTTTAAGTACATAAAAAATACTTTCAAAACTTCTAAGATTTAGTAATAAATGTTTATTAATTCTTATTATTATTACAATTTTATAAAGCAACAACATATTTTTAGGAATCCAACGTTTGCTAAAAATGAAAGTAGCAGTAATTGTTATTTTTGCAATGACTGCAATTGCATCTGGAAGTGACTCTTCTGACAATCAGGGAGGAATGAGCCACCAGGCATCCGGAAATATTGGAGGATATAGTGGTCAAGCGTCTGGCAATTTGAATGGCAAAAGAGTCGCATCGGATTCAGCAGAACGTGGTTCCCTTGCAGATGTTGGACCAAGCCCGTTTAAATCTGTAACTGGGCCTGCCAATAAAATCAAGGCAACATCAGCTGCACAGAATTCTGGTACATCAGGGAGAGGAAGTCGAGTCCCTGCAAGTTTTCTCAGAAGCTTCATGCCCTCTGGATAACTATATTTATAAAAAAAAAATATTTATGAATAAATCGCTTATATTGCATTTGGTATTTTTGTAGTTTAGTTTTGGAAGTTCTGTGTCTGATGATACTTACACATTTTGAAAGTCCTTAAAATAATATTCAGTTAAATAAAAAAAAACTATAGAAATTTATAACCATTTTCTAATTCAACATGTGCTGAGAAAATACAGTTATTTAGTAAAATTTCCTCTTTATTATTATACACAGAAAAAAAGACGCAGTGGCACATTTCTTTATTTCTGCTTGATGAGGAAAGATCATTATTCCCTAAAAATTATTTAACACTAAAATAATTGTCTCCTTATGCAAATCTAATCAGATTTGCCGTTATTAAAAGTAATAATTATTGTTTTCTGCATCTCTAAAACTACTTTTAAAAATCATGTTCTCGAAAGAAATCATAATTGGTACTTTAAATTTGTATTGATCAATGGATGTTTATAATCATAAGTATGCTCTTATTCCCTTTTCAATTCTAACTGAAGCTTTACATTATCTTAATTCTATAAATTTATCTCCAAAATAAAAATTTAATTTTAAATACTGTTACTAAAATAAGGATGCCTTAAATAAGGTAAGATATGAGAAGAGAGAAAGGTATGAGCTTATAATACTTTAGTAAGGTATTTAGTACCTCAATTTAGTGAGCCCAACAGCGGCCGAGCTGTTAAGTCGCTGAACACTGGTAGTTCGGTCCGAGGTTCGAATCCCGCGAACGGGCTGGCTGCATGGGTGTTTTCGTGGTTTTCTCCATGTGTAACGTGTATACGAGCCAGTTTACCTTAGAAAGTCCTCCACGAAGGCATCCCTCCCCTTAGGCCGATAGCACTAGTGTGCTTTGCCATAATTAAATACCCCACACCACCTTAATTTAGTAAAGTAATTTAGTAATTATCGTAATTACCTTAATTTAGTAAGGCATTTAATAATAGTTTAATACAAATCTTATACTGCAAGCTTCCTTAGGATTAAATGAATAGAGTAAACCCTTGCCGAACGCGGGGGGTTATGTCAATAACAGATTGCGCGTTCAGCAAATCGCGTTCTGCAAATTTATCTTTCAGTAGAAGAAACTAGTTACATATAGTTCAGCTTTATAAAGTGTGTTTAATTTGTACAAACATAAATAATACTGTAATTAAAAGAGGAAAATGAAAGAAATGTTGATTGAAAGGATTTCTACTACTGCTTAATAAATAGGTATATGATATAACTATCTTTTTTTATTGCTTGGAACAATGCCTGATGATCTCATTAAACGTTTCGCAGTAAGGAGTGCAAAGTGTTTAATGACTAAACTGTCTTTTACTTTCTTCATTTGGATTTCTATATTTTTAATTTTCTAAAATTTCCTTAGTACATGTTTAAATTTTACATTCGTTCGTAACGCAGTTTTGTGTTGTATGCATTCAGTTTCACGTTTTAGTTTGTATTAATGTGTCATTATGGTATTATAACACATGAAGTAAATCTATCAATTATATTTGACAGTTTTTAAGAAATCAGTGTTTTTGTGCATGTGAAAATAATTTTGTACATCGATGTTAACTATTCCGACCTCTTTTTTAAAAGCTCACTTGTTTTTATAAAATAAAAGTTGCTTCAATCCACAAATACATTAAATATTTTCTAAATAAAGTTTTATTCTGCATAATGTTTTCTTAAAGTATTGCTTATCAGTCAGATTATTAAAATAACAAAAACAATTCATGAAAAGGAAAACGTAAGAAACTAAAAAACCTTCATCTAAACCTTCCATTTGAAGGAATGCTTTCCATTTGATAAAAATATCATATTTTGATTATTGATGAATAGATAGTCGCAGCACTTTGCTGAACACCTGGCAAAATAAGGACAAATATCTAGCTAGTAAAGACTTTCCATCATTTATTCGATTTTGAATTTTCATTCGCAAATTTGAATATTTATTTTTGCAGTATGATAGCCGTTCACTATTGAGTTGTTTAAACTGGTATTTTAAAAGAGCTGTCAAAGTTGTTATCGAAGTAGCCGTTACATTGTCCTTCGACGATTGCTTATTATACAAAATGAATGAAAACAGTGTGTTTACATAGGAGCAATTATTATTCAATAAAAATAAATTTTGAACTTTAGAAATATTGAATATATTTGACAAAATGCGAAACTTTAATGTAATATGAAACAGCCATACAAATAACCATGCAACTAATAAACGATTTATGATTTTTAATGAATATCGTAAAGAAAAGTTTCATATACAGAAGTAATATGTCAACAATGTTATGAAGTGAAAGCATATACTACATAAAAACAATTTCGTTTTATTGAACTATTTCCGAACTTTATCATTTCATTATATATGTTAATTAATTTTTTTATTTTATTATATGACTTTACTTCCATTTAGAAATCTGAAATAACTAACTATAAAGCTTACAATTTTTTTAAGTGAAAACTATGAATTACGAACCACTGCAATTAAGAGTTGGTCAAAACTTGTCTACCCTGTTATGCTTTAACCCCATAAGTAGATAGATGCATTAAAAATGTCTTCGTCTCTCCATTATTAGAACCAGAAATGGTGATTTATTTTCCTACCCATAAAAATAAATTCAGTGACTCATATTTGTTTTCGGACATTCGTGTTTTTCTGCTTTGTTTGCAAATATCGATTACTAAATATTAACAAATGAATTTTTTCCTCACATATACTATTAATTATCTATTTTAAAACCTGCATGTTTTGAAAAAAAAGCATTCAAAACGTTTTTGATAAAAATTACACTTCATTAAAAAAGTTCTGAAAAAAAATTCTCATAAGTATTCGAACAATTTAAATAAATAGTTTACATTTAATAGAAGAATGAAAATAACAAGGCATTCAATACCTCATAGGATATCTTTTAACTAAAATTGCACATTTCATGGGCTTTGGCGTGGCTTCAAGTAATGTTTTTGTGCAAGAATGTTCCACTTGCTCGATTACTACGTAAGAATTGTTATTAGTAGGGTTTTTAAAGACGTATCATGTTTGCTTATTTTTTTCTCTAACTCCCTCCATTCATGTTCCATAGGATTTAAGTCCTGGGAATATTTAATTGCTTGAAGTTTAGATAACTTCAGAACAGTTGTATAATAATCACAAGGGAGCATTTAAGGCAGTACGTTTTTGATAGTTAACTTGATAGAATTTGTACTTTGCATTTCGCGTTTTCTTGCAGATGCTTTCAGTTTTTAAATAAGAATAGTTAGATATTTATAGTAATCTATGCTATTTCCAATTAAAAATAAATATCTTATTTCAAAAGTAGCGAAAGGTCCCCAGTCTAGTATGCCTCTACCCTCCATGCGTAAATATTAAGCAATAGGTTTCTCGAATTCAATTCCACTTAAGATTTTGTTGTTCCGATGTGATACAATTTTGTTTACTATAGATTCTGCGAACGCCAGCTGTATTTTCCTTGTTTTCTTGTTGAGGAAGAATTTCCTTCTTGTTGATATCTCATTGTATTTGTATGACTCAAGTGACTCTTCTATAAACTTCAAAGTTAACTTTTATTGCAAACCGCTCTATGGAGTTTGCTGAAAATTTTGCAGTACTAACATTTGGGTCGTGTTTGATTTTTCGTAAAATAAATCTGCGATTCTTTGGTTTAGCTTGGAATGTGGTCCAGACTTCAGTGCATTTTCAACAGTTCCACAAAATTTCCATCGTTTTATTACACGAAAAATAGTTAAACGCTTTACATCAAGGCCGTTTTGGACAATTCGAATGCTGTTTCATCTTTAGAAAGATGAATCATTAAATTTATAACAGACTTAGTCTTTAATTTGCAGCGTCTTGCCATATTTGCTGAACAAAAAGTAATTCCCAAATGCAGACGATAATTCTTGCGATGTATTTCCATTTAAAACAGAAAACTATAATAAGAAATATTGTCTACCAAAACATTTCAGCGAAAGCTTGGAGTGTCCGAATTATGCGAGTTACTCATTAACACTTTGCAAACAAATTTATTTTATTACAATTAATATTTTGATGATATTTATTTATTTATTTATTTATTTATACAAGCAAGTCTTAAAATAGAAAAATATAAAAATATTAAAATATTATAAGTCTGTTTCAATATTTAGTACAATATCTACGCAAATACATTTTTAAAATACCGAAAGTGTCCGAAAACAAATGTGAGCCACTGTATAGCCATTTTCCATTCAAAATTCTCAGAGAAAGTAAGTTTTTGAAGTTCTTTGCGTAATAAATTAGCCTGAGACGTAGTAGCCATCAGTATCTGTTTGTAAGGAATCTTCTTCTTCTTACCGCATGTCTTCATGTGTAATTGGCAACACATCCACCCAGCAGTAGGGAGGTTCTGAGTTCAAATTCCCGGCTGGTTTTGCATATTTCTGCTTCGAAAATTCGAATCTCTATAGGCTGATGTCCTTTATACGTATAAAATGATAAATGCATAACAGAATAATGTGTATTATAGAAACTGATTTTCGAGTAATATCATGGCAACGAATGACTGAGTGATAAGATGACTGAAAGCTGGTAGATAGATTCGGGATCGAATCCCGGCGAAAGAGTTACCTGTATGAAGTGGGGTTTCCCTGTGTAGTGTGCATACGACCCCATTTCTCTCAGAAAAGCTATTATCAATCTCTAAACGTGTAACAAGGATTTTTGTTTTCATTTTCCATGCCTAGAAGTTCCAAACATTATTTTTTTTTTATTTAAAATCAAACTTTCTTTCGTCCATTCATTCTCAATACTATATTAGCGTCCCGTTCAAAATGTGCTGAGATTCATTATAGAAAATTCGCCTTCTTTCAACCTTATGATTTTTCTCTTTTTGAATTCGTCAGTTATTCCTAATGTCTCACTTTACATTACATTATGCTTATTCAGAACAATAAAATTAATTTTGCCAACATTGCACTAGCTTGCGTACTTTACTCTGTGAGTAACTTGATTTAGTGCGTACCTTTATTACCCAGGGAGCTGAAATTTTAATTATTGGCATTTCGAATGATAACTAATCTATGTGCTAAATTTCAAGTCTTTCTAATAAATATTTCTTGGTGTTGCAATTTCTTTCATATGTTTTCAGTGTTAGCAGATATTTATATATTCTAAACAGATATTTCTACATTCTAAATAGATATTTTAGCGCATGTATAGTTTTCCAAACAGTACTAGAGTGCCCATAAAAATCCATTTTTAATGTTATGATATTAGTGTATGTTGGATAATTTTTCCATTAGTTATAAGATGTTGTTAATTATAATCGAGTTTATTAATTTATTATCATATTCTAAACATGTAACTTGATGCCTTTTTTATTATTATTATTTTACATTTAATGCATTGTTCATTTCTATTTTTCTTGCATTCATATGCACATTAGTATATTAGTATTCATAGATAACCGTGAGATAATGAAGAGATTTTGACAAATGTTAAGTGTCAATAATGCAATTTATTTACATGTATTACATGTTACAAATACTTACGCTAATCATACATCATTGTCAACAGAAAAAATAAGTAAATCAGCTGAGAACTGGAAATATTTTGAAAAACGAACTTAATGCATTGTAATGCCTGATTTATCTTTTTCAGGAAAGTTCTATGTTAACATATTTTTCATTTGTTTGGCTGTTTATACAGCGGGATTAACGATTATGCAAGGTAATTAACGTGTGGATAGCCATAATACATGGATAATCGGAAATTAGCTAAATAAAACTATAATTAAATCAAAATTATCATAAAAGAAGAAAAAGGAAGTCTTCAAAGGATGGAAGGAGGAAGGATTTAAATGAAGCCATATACAAAGTATACTGGAAATATCTTCCACTTTCCGCTGAACTGAATCCTTCATTATTCGTTTTTGCTCCATCCACACCTTTGTCTTATTTTCTCATTCAGAGCATCGAAATCTCGAAAATCGCTTCAGAAAATTAGATGTCTCTCATATTCTTTGAGGCACTAGAGACGTTTTTGAACGAAGCGATGCATGAATAGTTTGAAACATGCGTATTTAGTACCTGGATGATGTGGTATTTATCGCATTTGAAGCTCCAAATAGTTTTAATTCAGAAGGAATTTCTGAAGCAAAAATAAAACGTACATGTAGCTTGTTTGATAATACCTATAATAAATCCAAAATTTCGATTACAAAATCCCTGATAAGAAAAATTTGTTTATTTATGTATTTACATGATGACTTATTGTGAGGTACAAATTTACTTGTTCTCCATGTAAATATTTAGAAAAGAGTGACCTGTAATTATTATTATTGTTTGGATATTTGACTCCTGGAAACTAAACAAACCACTTTTATTTTGGGGGCCTCTAATTTATTTTCCTTCAATAAATGCTAATTAATTTTGCATTTGTACAGTAAAATATGAACTCGTTTCTTCTAAAAATGCATTGTAGTTTTTTTGTTTAAATGTAAATAAATAAGGCTTAGAAGCCGAAATTTATTTAGTATTTGCTTTCATTTTGCGTTTGTATGCACTGAGTTCATGTAAGTGAGAAAACTAACACTGAAAAGCACAGTAAAAATCTTTATTGATGTTACGCTTCAAATTCTAATTTTATGTATTTATTGCTATTCTATATTAATTAAATATATCGTACTAAAACTATGCTCATTACTGACATTACTGAAATGTTGTTTTGACATATAAAAAATTATTTGAGCTTTGTAGCTTGCCTGGAATTCCCTGAGAAAATATCTGAAAAATCTATAATCCTGCTATTAAAGCATAAAAATTCAAAGGATTATTTCACATGCACTAATAAAATTCAATATATTAATTATCGCTTTCAAATAACGTCAATACATCTTTCGAATAACAACAAAAATAAAATTAAACAAATCGAATATGCAGTCGACATTTCTGAACAGTCCAGTCACTAATTCTCGAAATAAAGCAGGTTAAGATAACAGATCAACAAACTTATTCAATACCTTTGTTGATTATCAATGCAAATAACGATTTCTTTATCAAGGACTTTCACTTTTGAAAGCAAAATTACGAGGGCAACGCCTTTTCTCTTACAACTTATCTTGATTTTGAAGTAACCAGTTACCATTTTGATGTCATCTCATAACAAATTGCATTTTACTAACAAGGTAAACAAGGCACCCATGTTTTCCGCATGTGTACGTAATTAATAGCCTATATCCTTTGCTGCAAGGTTATATCGATAGTATAAAATAGAAGTTTGTAGCTGGGTACTTCATACTAGATCAGCTGAAGATCATTGTGTGAATATCTGAGTTAATCTAAGGTAAGTATGTATATGAATTTTTTTAAGCTAGTAACCTGTTAATAACCTTTAAATGTTCATTCATATTGAATAGCAGGTTTGGATTATAAGTTGATTTTATTTTAATGGTGAAAATTCATTGAAAATGGAAACATAAGTTATGAAATAAACTCATTTTTTTGTCTACATAAAATCATCTCTGAATTTAAAACAAAACTAAACATGTACCAGGCACATTAATTAAGATACTTTATGAAAATATTTTATGAATTACAATAAACGCCGTAATGTAATAATTATCATTTAAATAATTATCATTAAAATGTAATAATCATCATTTGAATGTATTGCGAATTGAAGTTAAGCTATATCAAACAGATTAATTATTAAAAAGTAAAGTAAAAATTTGAACAATTAAAAAATAATATTTATTAACTTTAAATCTCTCAATTTATAAAGGAAATACAGATTGATTTAATTTGAAAGGTAAATTAAATTATATTTGCTAAATGACAGTACTCTGAGAATCTGCGTAGAAATAATTTTACATAGTGCAACATTTGTTAAGGAGATCGGTGATTCTTTAAGAGAGCAAACTAGTTAATTTTGCTCCAAAATTATTGATGGTAAATATAAACGCATTCTCTTTCCTGTAATACTGAAACTTTTAACTGAAAATTATATATAGCAGCTTCACTCAGTTACATTAAAAATAAAAATAATCAGTTACATTAAAAGTAAAAGAAAAATATCATTTGAATATTATACTCTTTAGGATAATAGTTCAACATTGATATTTCAATAGAAAGAGTTTTCCGTTCAGGAGACACAACAATGAGTAAAATAAATTCTTATCTAAACAGCTGTAGAGTTCCTCACTTTTTAAATGCTAAGTTACAGTTGAACGTGAAGAATCTTAAGAACTGATAAGCGAATAATCGCTTGAGTTCGTGTGACAGGAAACAAAAAGATAGAAGGGTAAACTAGCCCTTTATTATTCCAACTAAAGTTTTACAAACTCCGTCTTGGAATGTACAATAATGTCGGCACTTGGATTCTGAACTTAAGAGACTAAGAATAATACTAAAATAACCTAAACTAAAGAGGTATAGCCGAAGCTATCAAAAATTCTAACAGAGTTGGCCTCTTAACGTTAATAGACTGCAGAGCTATCAAGGGCCTAAAGTACGGCCGAGCGTAATAATAGCTTAGGAAGACAGTACCCTAAAAAGACAGAATACTTGTTATCTCTCTCTCTCTAAAGACCGAAGAACTTCGCGGTTAAATATCGCTTTTCTACATTATGTATTCAGATGTGATTCTAAAAACTCATTCTGGCCGGAAGTAGTAAGTTGAAGTTAAGAATCGACAGAAAAGGAACTTAAAATTTAACTATTAATAAAATTAACATAGTTCTTACACAGTATAACTTTAATTCTAAATACGTTAAAAATAAGTACTTTTTTCTTTCCTTTCTGGTACATGATTTGACATAGTGTCATTAGAATTATCATTTTATCAGAACTACAGAAAATTTCTCCTTCCTGAAAGCATCTTTTTCCGTATTTGAACTGAGAAAAAAAAAGATTAAGAAGTAATCTTTAGAAAAATTTATTATGTATTCAGACGTGATTCTAAAACTACGTTCTGGCCGGAAGTAGTAAGTTGAAGTTAAGCATCGACAGGAAAGGAACTTTAACTTAAAATTTAACTGTTTATAAAATGAATATAATCCTCACACAGTATAACTTTAATCTAACTATAATCTCACACAGTATCTAAATAAGTATAACTTTAATCTCACACAGTATCTAAATAAGTTTAAAATAAGTACTTTTTTCTTTCTTTTCTGGTACATGATTTGACATAGTGTCATTAGAATTATCATGTCATCAGAACTATAGAAAAGTTCTCATTCCTGAAAGCATCTTTTTCCTTATTTGAACTGAGAAAAAAAATGAATTAACCACTAGGAAAATTTATTCTAAGAATTGATTTTTACTTCTTTGTGCTTATTTCGCACAAAAGTTAATAACCGCTAAAATTTGCGAGTATCATATTTCAACGGAAATATCTACTTTGATAGCTCCTGAATCCCCATTTGGACGGCTTTTTTGCGTGGTTTCTGTACATACGCACAGCATGAAAGACTTTTTTTCCCAAAATGGGTTGTAAAATGGATTTAAAATGTATCCAAAAGACATTTTTTCGTGTCATCTATACGTACGTATATCACATAAATCAAAAACGATTTGCCGTAGACTTTTGAAATTTTCTGTATGGGACTGCTATAATTGTATACCTCATTTTATTATTGCAATCGGTAGTATCAAACGTATATATAGCCATTCTCTTACCCGGCTTGTATTTTCGCAATCGTTGGTCGTGTTCATATACTTCCATTTACTGAAGTGTTTTAAACCATAAAAATATTCATGTTTTGGCAGTGTCAAACTAAAAAAAAAAAAATATATTATATTCAACAAATAACGAAATCTAACTTTTAATCCGGTTTCCGGGTCCTATACTAATATTTGGGAAACTTTTATACTCAATATGAAAGTATAAAATTATAAGAAAAATTGATCGTGATATTTAGCTTCAAAATTTCTTAATTTTTGATGTTATTTTCAACTTGCCTTGGTCGGTGAGTTAACTAAATTAGAAGGATTCGGGGAAACGATTATAAATGAAATGCAACCTCAGAACCCAAAATTTGCTGATTTTTCTAAAATGCACGTCTGTTAACTTTTGGGTTTTTAAATCAGAGAAAAGTATATTTGGATTGCATGCTTAAGAAAGGAATGACTTCATCAAGAGAAATTTTAGCGAAAATGTTTAACATTTGCTTTATATGTGCCAAGAACTACAAAAATAGTCATGTAGTCACTTCGTTCAGCAGCTGGATATAGAACCAGAAGCAAATTCCCACAGTTTCGTAGTTTTTGACGGTCTAAAATACAGCTGAGAAACACAATATATACAGTTGAGAATGCACAGTTAATACAGTTGAGAATGCACAGTTAATACAGTTGAGAATAGTAACTTCTTGATATTTTAGTATGTATAAATTTTCATGAATATTTCCAACTTAGATATTATGATCTTTATCCAGGTCACTGGCTTACCTGCATCATTAACTATGAAGTGCACAGCTGTTTTCCTCTTCTCACTCGTTGCAATAGTTTCTGCTCAGTACCATGGCACGGCAAAATCTGGTGCCACGAGAATGACAAGGTGGGGGCCACATGGGAGGCAGGGCAAATTCTGGTTCCTCTAGAATGGCAAGCGGAGGCCACATGGGCGGTATGAATCAAATGGGAGGACATCATCGAATGGGACGTAGTCCTGTCATGCCATCTGGGCATATGGGGATGGGACGAATGGGCACTGGACATATGGGAGCTGGACGAATGAGCAGCGGACAAATGGGAGCTGGACGAACTGGCAGTGGACATATGGGAGTTGGACAAATAGGAGGAATGAGTCAAATGAGCGGACATCATCGTATGGGACGTAGCCCTGTAATGCCAGTTGGACATATGGGATCTGGACGAATGAGCACTGGACATATGGGAGGCATGAGTCAAATGGGACCTGGACATATGGCAGGATGACCCAGATGGGTTCTGGACATATGGCTGGACATATGGGAGGAATGAGCCAAATGGGAGGACATCATCGCATGGGCCGCAGCCTTGCTATGCCTGCAGGTCACATGGGAGCTGGACAAATAGGAGGAATCGGTATGTACCTTCTGAACTCTTATAGTTCTTAATGCTAGTTGACCTCTTAATGGTTTTCCGTTTAAATATTGATTTCTTCTAATGTGCTATGAGTATTTATCTGAAGTTAACTAATTGGAAAGGGAGATAGTTCTAAAAGCAGTATAAGAAACTGAATTTGATTTTAGTCCTGGTTAAAAATTCTGAAATATAAAGAGATTTAGATCTAAATGAAATTTTCTGATTTCTTGAATTTTTATAAATATCATTTCTTCCGTTTCAGGTATGGGACATGGTGGATCTGTAGGTTATGCCGGACACATGGGTGGCGCCTCAAGAATGATGGGAGGAAGGCATCATGGCTAAGTGAGTATTATAAATTTTTTATCAAATCTATAAAAAATTTTTGTTTGAATTGGTTGATTCGTTTGAATATTGATTAATCTTGATATTAATCCTAGTTGAATTTTTATTCTTTATATTCGTTCGTTCGCTTTGGATTACCAAGAGATGCATTTAATGTGATATTATAAGATTAATTAAAAATTGTTAAGACTTATAAACTGATCCTTGGATAGAAGGATGATTATAAGAAGATAATGATGCTTTGATAATTTCATCTATTTCTTATTTTATCTGCACTGAAAATAACTGACATTTTTGTTTATTTCAAAGTAACCTGCTTTTTAAAATCATCTATAAATTATTCGTTTATGTATTTAGATGCAAAAAATCTCTTAAATTCCCAAAAATCCAATTCCATTTTTAAAATTATGAAAGGATAAATTGGATAGACAAAAACAGACGTTTCATTCATACGTTTAATTATCTTTTCGGTATCCTACAGAAAAAAAAAATACTGAAGCTGATAAAAACTTCGAATTTTAAAGTTTGGATCTGAGTAGAAAATGATTCACATGCATGCAAAATATATTGACGATCACAAACTTCGCTGCATTACCACTGAAATGGGTCTTTGAAATTTAAACTCTGGAAGCTCCTAAGATTGAGGAGTTTAAAACTTTAAATGTCATTTGTGAAATTTGTAAAATTTGTGATTCACGTAGGTATCACGCTCTTTGCTATAAAATTATCATCTCTATGCGCTTTGAACTGTCAGCCCATTCAATTCCACAAAGCAGCGGATAAGTATTACAAACGACAATGCATTGTTGAAATTGTTGATTTTCAAATGGTTGTGTGTTAGTATCTAATCATGGTTTTCAGCAAAAAGATAATCATTTAATAATATTTAATTAGATTTAAAATAATCGCTTTTCTTTGCTTTGGTTGCAACAATTGAAAAAACGACTTGCAGTATTTTTAGGTATGAAATCTGAGAAATAATTCTTTAAAATGTGGTTATTTTAATAGTAATAAATTATACACTATTAAAAAATTATAATTAACAATTAACGTACTTTTTAAAAAAATGAACTTGGGCTAATAAAGTGGATATGCTTATTTATATTTATTGTTCTACAATTATTTATTTCTATAAAGTGCTTAATTTGAGAGAAATTTACAATTTGAAATAAATTTCACATAATAATCTAGCACAACAGTTATATGCTATTTACGCCAAAACAAAATTGAGAAAACATTTTCTATTATTATTCGGCATTATGAAATTTTAATGATTTAAAAGAATAATAATTACAAGCATTGTTTGTTACACTTCTGATATTTTAAGCCATATCAAGGTTTATAACTGATATTAAATTTTATATATTATAGTAAAAAAAAAGCTTTTGATTTATTTTTGTGATAAACATTTTAATAAATTTATATTCTTATTTGAATTGTATCACTCACAATTTTAATTTCATAAAATACATATTTAATATGCTGCATCTTTTCTTACAGACTCGTGATGTCCATTTACTGAATCTGAATGAATAGTCTAGGAGCTATTTCATGCATATCATACATATTAGCCAAAATGTATACATTTTAACAAGATAAATAAAAATTGTACATATTTTAATAACATACGTTTATTTTTTATCTGTGTCTATTATTTTTTATTTGTCTCTACAAATCTACAAAGTAATATACATCATATAAAAGTTCTGAGTTTTCGGAGACTTACTATTTCGCGAGGAAAGGAAGTTGAAATATGCATCAGTATTACGACATGACACTTTATAAGCATCAGTTAAAAGTATTTAACGAACAGAACAAAGTATAACTTAGATTATCAATACGAATTCATAACTGTTATCCGCTTTGTCTTTTAAAATAATAAGAAACCTGACTTCAAAAATTAATTTTTATGGATAGTTATCAGGAAGCATCACATAATACCCTAGATATTATACTTAATTTTTAAATTATTCTTTAACGAAAAACTGCTTTATGCCTTCTTTTACAAGCTATATTCATCTAATAAATGCAAAAAAATACTTAAGAAATTTTGTAAATTACAACACTGAATTAGATTTCGTCATTAAAAGAGAAACAAGTAGATAGAATACATACTAGCCGCATAAAAATCCACAAAACAGAAATGAGGCATTCTTTTATTTAAAAGAATAATATGAAGTGTATAAACACACTTCCTAGTAAAAGTTATTGATTTCCTAGGCTAACAAGATTCATGAAGATAGTAATATTTTTATTTTTTTTCCTTTCAAAAAACAAATAAATATTACACCAAAAACTTGTCAAACTTTAGCTAAAATTTGTATGCAATATTTTTATAAATGCAATGTGTACAAATATTTTATACAGAGTGCATTTAAAATAATTAACACATTTTTAGCAGATACGGCATTTAATAAGGTTACAATTAAAAGATTCCGCGTTCTTTGGTAGCGTAAATGAGATCGAAAATTCTAAAGACTAAGGCGGCTTATCGCTAGGTCTTGTAAATTACAACAGAGATTGAAAAAGGGAGTAAAAGACCCTTTTATTTAACATAAATAGAAGCTAACAGAAGGCACTCACTGCTCCTAGTCACAGAACAGTAAGCATTTATGGCTTACTGTTCTGTGACTACGAGCAGTGAGTGCCTTCTTTCTTTTATAAATCAAAGATCACAAAATTGACTTAATTAAGCGAATTTTAAGTTAGCCCAAAGGCTACACAGACAGAGAATTGCGGAATGAAACGCGTTGGAAATGATATGCCTTCTAATTTTAACTTCAGCTTTCAACAGAAGTCATTGTTCAGATGTAAAAATTTCTTCAACTTTTTTTCTGAATTGTGTCTCTGACCTTTAGTTTACAATGGCTCACAGATTTCTTATTCTGAAAGTCCAGAATGAACTTTTCATACAACCAAAGACATATTTTCACTTGAATAACTGCAAACTTCACAAACTGAGCCTGGGCTTCATTACAAAAAAAAAAAAAAAAAACGAACCAGTGGATACCCAAGATATCAAGTTGTTCAGTTTTCCTACTTCCAGCTATCCGTGGTTCACAGTAGCCCGGAAAGGAGTTTAAGAAATAAAAGGTTTGTAGGTTGTAATCTCAAGCGAAAACGGGCTTTAACAGGATAAAATATAAAATCCCAAATGCGCCATTATACTGAGTTCCTGCTCCTATTGGTATCATGAGAAGCAGAACTGCAAAGACAAAATAGAAAAGCGAATAGCAATGGATATAAATATTTCAAATATTAAAATCTGCTGTTTGGCTCATTCCTCAAAGTGAAATTCGTCACCTTTTTTAATGAAAAATTGCTTTAAAGCTGGGACGAGCGTTATGAACTCATAAGACAACACAGCATGCAGAACTTGCGACTTTTTTTCGAAAGACATCAACACACTAATAAGCAGAAAATTTTAGTTGAAGCAACATTTTTACCACATGCCTTCAGAAAAGATGATTTGTGCAGACTCGAAAGGAATGACAATCCTGATCTCTTGCTACACAATAATTTTTCACTCATATATTTTATTCTTATATAATCAAAATCATCAAATGTTTATATTCTCATATAAACATTTTGATCCAGCACTGAAAATATTTTATATTTTCTTCTTAAAGAAGATATTCTAGACATTTAGTTATACTTTTATGTTTTCATGCATAAAATGGACTATTTTTTAAGTCTTTAGAAATTCATCACTGTGAACCTTTCGAGAAATAACAGTGTAATTAAGTGTAATTTTAAAATGATGCTGCGTAGAACAAATGCCAAAGTAACAGATTGGCTATTTAGCCAGTTTATTACTTTACATAGATATAACGATAATTCGCGTAGTTCTTTTAGAGCCTTTATTTTAGAGTAGAATTGGAGTATGCTACCGAAACCAATGACACTCTAATACGATTTCTTCTTAATATAAATAACATAAAAAAATTCTTTTGTAAATTTTGCTCTGAACCCTTTGCTTTCTACATGTTAATGTTGTCACTTTGTTCTGGACGTTCTGTGACAAGGAAAATGTATTTTTAACCCAAAGGGACAATTTGCCCTATTACTATTAATTTGGTTTTAGCATTTTGTGTCATCCACTATAAAACGGCGTTTCACTTTGCAAATTGCTGCCACCAAATATTAGAGCCCTATTAAATAATGAAGAATCTGCATGAATGTATGTATGTTTTCGCATTGTGAAAAAATAGCGGTACCTAGAGACATCAAATTTTGAATAATGTAGTCCTCCTTCGAATATGGGCATCTAGTAGCCCAAATTTGGAATCTAGAATTTGTTTTGTTGTCTACTTTATATTTTGCAAAACTTTAAAAAGCTTTCAGATTTTGTTTTTATTTTTTTTTCCCCTAGAATTGTAGAGCACATATTTTGTACGTTATTATCGATTTGTCAGACAACTACTTTATGCAGGTTCGTCCTCTTTTGAATTATTATGAGAAAACTTCAAATATATTGTGAAGCAGTAGATATTTCTTCTTGCAATTGTCATTGTATTTCATTTCCTGAGAACTGTCGCTCATTAGAAGTAGATATAGCGTTGTGTCATTAGCTTGCGAATAGCAGTAAGAGATTTCACCTCTTCCTCCCTTCTCTGGTATTCCTGTTCTTGGCCATTTAACAAATTATTGCAACGCTGACATACATTCTTCTAACTTTTATTTCCTTATATTTCTCCTTTGTATATACGACAGTCACTTAGACATTTTTACATTAGAACTAAACAAAAATATTATTTTTAACACGTTGCCTATGCAAGTATAAAAGTGTGAGAAGGTATCGCAAAGTGTATACTTAACTATTATTTATACAGTGAATACTAGTACATGGCGAAATATCATTTGCGTGGATACCTTCATATGCCATATTCCTATGTTCCCCCCCCAACCAAATGCCAAATTTTTCACATAAAATAATAAAAACCTAAAAATTCGTTGAATATGAAATTAATTATTAAAATTTTACTATAAAACTCGAATGGTGCATTAAATGAAATAGTCTTCAAGTACACGAAAACTTAACATTGCAAATCACTTCACTATACAAATATAATGAAAACGATATAACAAAAACCCAATATAACGAAACTGACAGGGTTATCCTAGTGCGTTTGACAAGTGTCTGTAAATGAAATCTTCGAAATTGCAGTCAAATAATCTTCATAATACTATTATTTGCCTGTTTTCACACAAATGATATACCCAGGAAAATATAAGTATAATGACTATTGCTGCATTCACACTGTAGCCTAACCTAACTGTAGCCTAACATAAGTTTTCATTTGAATGTTCATGTTGGTGAGTAGATTCATCTATAGGGTCTAAGTAAGACAAAATCTAATCGCCAAATCGGCGGGAAAATTCTTAATTTAAGAAATCAAATCTCTTCTGAATAGCATTTTGACCCCTTTCCAAATAGGCTCTGTGCCAGAACTTTCACTGCCTAGTTATGGCACTGAATTCTAAGATCCCCCACTATTACAAAAAACATTATGTAATTGCTTAGGACAAGGATTTCGTATTTTATTCAAGAGGATAATGATTACTCTCGACTCCCGCTACATTAACCCCCCCCCCGAAAAAAAAAGAAAAGAAAAATTTTAGTTGAATTGGAAATCGGTATTTTCTTTAAAATAAATCTCATATAGTTATTAAGTGGCGCCATCTACTGGAGGCTTATTATATCAGTCTTGGAAATCAATTTCAGTTAAATATTGACCAATCTGAATTTTTCTGTTGAAATGGTTTCGTTCTTGTTGCAACAATACAAATAATTTAGTCTTTAGGAAGCCTGTATCAAATAAATTAATCTAAAGATCCTATAAAAGTTTAAAAAATATATATTTCCCCCCCTCGACCGGCAGGCACTATTTTGTCTTTTTTCGACATTAACCACTCCTAAGGCCCAGAAGTGGTGGCCATTTTATTGTGGAGGCACCTAATAGGCGGCCATCCTTACCTCCTATGAAAGGACGGACACTTAAAACCATGCTTTTTCTCCGGGTGTCGAATACAGGCTTTGGGTATCATAGTCACCTACCATTCGGGCGGCAAGTTAAAAAATATTACACTGAATTTTTACGTCGCATTTAAAAAAATATAATCTCATTTTTTTTTTCCGCCAAGTTGGACTATCATTAGAGTTTCGTCTTTTTATTTCATACCTTTAGGATAAACCTGTAACCGCGTAATATACCACAAATTAAAACACTTTCAGGGGCATAAAAGGAATGCGGGCAGCATAAGGGCCTGAAGCCCTAGAGGACCCTTAAGCGTTCTGTCACGCTGAACTACATTTACATGTTTATATTTAAAACAAAAAATGGCTTTTATAAACTATGATCATTTAAAAATAATCTCTAAATTATGAACTATCTATGTTCTATAAATATGAACATAACGCTATAAAGAACCCTTGGATACACAGAAAACAAGCTGTACCATGGGTGTCATGTACATCAAAAGTTCAAACGAAAGCAAATTTGAATACGAAACGGAAAAGGCTGTTTATATTTGTTTTAATTTCTTGTTACAGGAGCATTTTCAAATTATTGCTGATGAAGATCGTTAGTGGTAATAGGTGAGAAACTCGTATTCAGCCTTATTGTGA